AGAGCGCGAGGCTGACGGCACCGCGCCGGCCTGCGGGCGCTCGCTCTAACCCCGGGCCCAGCACGGGCAGCGAATATCTGTCCCTCGGGACCAAAGATCGTATTTCTTCTCTCCCCCCGGCCAACCTCTGCTCTGCCAGCCTCCTTCTTCTCTCCACTTCCCTTCAGGCTCTCAGGGCTACCACAGGCGACAAGAAAAACCAGGAGTTCCCTTAGGCCCTTTCCAAAGCCAGGTCCCTCCAGAAAGGGCAGGCAAGGACTGCGAGGAACAAAACTACGTGTGTATATTTTATACATACGTGAGTGTGTGTGTGTGAGTATACCCATGTGCGCGTTTAAAAGTGCCTGGAACCAACTGGCTGATACTGTGGAAATGCACGTTCAAACTTCCACACCAGGCTCAGGTCGCAGTTATTTCTGTACTTGCTGGCTGGCAGGTCTGGTTAGATTTTTCTTACGTAATTACTCAGCAAGACCTGGAGGTGAAGCTGATGCAGCACAAGACACCAGGACAAAATGCAGAAATTGGAAGTTCGGCAGCCCGTGATTTCCACTCTCCAGGCTTTGGGATTTCCAGAGCTGGAACAAACCACTCTCCCTTACTCATTTCTTGTCTGCGCTCTCCAGCATAATGGTGTTTTCTCACGGTAGTGGCAAGTAGCGTTTTGAGCTCACCAGCTGTGCGATGCTTCCCATGGCAGGTCCCGGGCCGGGAGACGGTGCCAGGGGGCGCAGTGTGCTGAGGAGTACAGCCCTGCACCGGCAAGCTGAGTCTCCAGCCTGGTCTCACCCGATCCTTCCGCAAGCTGAGGTGTTTGAAATCACGCTGCATGCATGCACTAGTAAAGTGTGCTGTAGATCTGGAGTTCAGTTGTTTCCCCGAGCTCGTAACGTAGTGGTGTGCCTTGAGGTGGAAGGGAGGGTCTCAGGGGAGCCAGCCCTTCCCGAGGGCCTTGTTAGGCTTCAGGGTCAACTTGAGGCTGCCAACCCAGACTGCTGCATCATCCAGAGGAGTCTCCTAGGAAGGGTTAGAGGGACCTTTGGGCCCTGCAGCAGGAAGGGGGCTGGGGCTGGGCCCAGAGGACACCCTCTAGCCCTTGCTGGACGGGCCCAAGGAGTCGTCCCCCCAAGGAAGCCGTCCCCGCGTGGGACAGGGCCTGGGAGGGCTCTCGCGGAGGGGAGGCAGCCTGCGTCGAGAAGCACATTTACGCCAGACTTGGAGCGGGCATTGCTGCAGGCCGCAGCTTGCGCGGCTGACACAGGCCCAGGCAGTGCAGCCCCTGCTCGCAAGCTTCCTGAGCGAGTCCCTTCCAAGGGGTAAGCGTACAGATAAGTACAATACGTTTTTCTCTGTGGCGCGCATGAACGGTCGCTTGACCTACTTTTAAGATGTTCTAAATATAACTGGATCAAAAGCCTCTCGCAGGGGAGGCTGCGCAGTGGGAAGCAGGAGGCGTAGATCATAGATACCTTATTTTTCAGGGGGGCTTAATTCTGATTTCTGAATGTTCACATCCCACACTCTATGCACATCTCATGAGAGGCAGAGGCACCCCCTTTGCAGGTACCAGGACCCTCTGGGGTCCTGTCCTGGCATGCAGGAAGCTCCTGTGCTGAGAGAAACCCAGGCGGACCAAGCCTAACATAGCTCTGCCGTGCCTTTCTGTGCTGAGCACCCTGCCCAAGCCCTGGGTTCAGCCCTGAAGGCTAAATTGCTCAGATTGTTGCTCCTCTCTACACTGCCTATCTCTGCTTTATTTAACTTTTTGTTCTCCCTTTGCCACAGCCGGTGCTTAGGAAGGGAAGCCGAACGCTCAGGGTAAGAGCCGCCAACGTCCTGCATGGGATGCGACGCCTGTCAAGGGCAAAGGGGGCTGAGGGGTGACACAAGGCACAAGGGACAGGTGATGGTGGCCCCACCAGAGAGCCTGGCAGGCTGCAGAGGCCTGAGGCGAGGGGCACACAAAAGGTAGGGAGATGGGGCTGGGAGGCGCTCGGGTGCCAGGGGGTCCCAGGTGGCCCGTGGGAGCGGCCCGACCGGCCCCACAGCCCCAGCGCTTCGGTCACATGAGGGTTTTCTCATGCCGAGAGCTCTGGATGCGCCAGGCTGCAAAGGGCTCCCAGGAGGGAGGAGGGGACGCCAGAGCCCGCTGTGCCCTGCCCTGCTGCGGCAGTGCCTGCGTGCCCCGGCTCTCCTGGGAGCAGCGCTGGGCTCGACCCTGAGCTCTCCCCGGCTCTGCCCCGGCTTTGCTCAGTGCCCTAGCTCTTGGGGCCCCCGTTTCCCTGAGTATAGAGCAGAGCTGACAGCACTGAGGGTACTGCCCCGTCTCGGGCCAAGCCGTCTGTACAGCTCCGTTCGTTAGATCTGGCTGCCGCGACCAGTGGAGAACAGCTTACGAAATAATTTCTCCTTTCCACTGCCATTACCTCTGCATTCCTCCCCGGCCCACCGTGGCAATTTGCATCTGTGTGGGCGAACGTCACGCTGCTTCGTGAGCTAAATCTGGTAAAATGGAAACTCTCTGCGGAACAATCTGCTCCATGCTTGTGGCTTTTGTCCTTTCGGTGTCTGGGATGAGGGCTAGGGGCCAACGCACACATCTCCTCTCCTCTGCCTTCCCATGTCTCGAGGCCGACACCAGCTCCCTTGGCAGCTTTTGGCCGACAGGCTGACAGTGCCGGGGATGCAGTTTGGGCAGGGTGAAGCCTGCTCTGTTGGGCCAGCATGGGAGCAGGCCAGGGATCTCTGAGAAAAGCTGCAGTTTCAAGGAGCTTCAGTTGAATTCTCCATTGCTTCCCACTCTGCAGGGACAGGCCGAAAGCTGGGGGTAACTCTCCTCTTCCTTGCGGTGTAAATCCAGGCATGCAGCAGTGGGATGGCTGCATCCGGCGGTGCACCACCAGGGCCCAACTTCCTGCCGGCTGAGCACGCCCCGGGTGCCGCGTGTCCCCCACGGCTCGCAAGGGCAGTGGGTGCTGGGTGCGCTGCAGCGTGGGGCCCTTTTGCGGGTGCCATGTCTGGCTGGGAGCCGACCTGTTCTGGAGTGAAGGAGCTCAGCTGGCAGAGCCACGCTCCGGCCCGTGCTGCTCTCAGAGGGCGCGCGGACGAGCCGCCTGGGCAGAGCCACGCACGGTGTTTTCAGCTGTCCTACAGCTGGTGCGAGAAGCCTGTTCCTGTTCTCCCCTCTGTGCTTCGGCTGCGGTGGCCAGCGCTTGCCCGAGCTCCAGGTGCGCCTGGGGAACATTGGCAAGCTTGCGCAAGGACGTACCCTGGCAAAATACACCCCCGTCACCAGGGCCAGGAAGGAAAAAACCAAACAAGCCCATGTGGGAGGAGCACGGAGACCGGTGAGGACACTTGTGGGTGAGATGTGTCATCACCAGCCAAGGGCTTATAGGGGCCCCAGCAAGAGCAGGAACCTCTATTACGGCTGGCGAAGGAGCAGAGGAGAGGTGCAGAGGTAGGTGACTCCGGGGTGGCTTTTCTTCTCATTATGAGTCACTGGGAAGTTTTTGTCATCTGTGCGAGTGTGTTGGGGGAGAGAGCACGGGGGGTTACTGCAGCCAGCTAGAAGTCACACAGGAGCTGCAGGTGGTGGGGAAAGCATGGTCTGGGGTTGGGTAGGGAGAAGGAGCCAGGGACACGCAGGCACATCCACCACCACACGTGGGCACAGCACACCCAGCCGCGTTCACGCACAGTTGGACTCGCAAACGCACACGGGAGGACAATGGCTCCACCGATCTGCTCCTGGCTGTGCACGCTCCAGCAAGCCCTCGGAGCCCCGTCGGGGCCGCAGCCGTGCAGGTATGCACAAAGCGCGTGCGTCGCTGCACAGCCTCTCACCTGCACGCGGTGGTCACACTGCCACGCAGCTGTGCACGCCTGCACGTCCTCACGCCGAGCAGCATACGCGTGAGCACACACTGGGACGACACGCACCACTCGGTATATGCTTGTCTGATGAACGTGGCTCTGCACGCACCTGGCGGTCGGCGCCGAGGTCTAAGTTCCCCCAGGTAGCAGGCGCTGTGGTGGGTACGCATGCAGTTGCACACCGATGCCCCAAGGATCTGGGTATGCAGCGATCAGGTCCCCACTGGCAACACCTCTGTGCAGCAGACCAGAAACCTCGTAGTGAATTTGAGGCATTTAATCCATAACAGTTTTAAAGCACTGTGACTCAAGAGCAGGCAATCCAGTTAATGCTGTTGCTTCGCTGCAAGCGTGCCTGAGGCTGGCGGTGCCCTGCCGTCGGTGCCGGGGACGTGTGCAGAGGGAGCAGAGAAGGGTATTAGAGAAGCTATGGCAGGTGGGAGGAAGTTGGAGGTTTCTGCAGCTACAGGTCACTTGGCCTCATGGAAAGCGGGAAAGGGCAGGAAAGGGAGGGAAGGGTCAGGGGGCTGGGAAGGAGCCAGGTCAGCAGCCCCCGGCAAGGGAATCACCAGTTCGTGTGCACAGAAGGAGCTGTGCTCACGGGGAGGTCACTGCTGAAGCCATGGGCGCTGGAGCATCGCGTCCCCTCGCGCAGCCCGACCGAGCTGTGCCAGCACCGGCCGCAGCGTCACCATCAGCAACCAGCCCCTCGGCAGCGAGAGCTCGGACCCTGCC